AGCAGTTACTTGCTCTTTCACATTCCTCTTTTCCCTAGATGTTTTTGATCACAGAGATAAAATAGCTTTCAACAGTTAAATTCTTTTTTTTTTCTTTTTGGGTCACACTCGGCAGTGCTCTGGGGTCACTCCTGACTCTGCACTCAGGAATCACTCCTGGCAATGCTCGGGGGACCAAATGGGATGCTGGGAATTGAACCCGGGTTGGCTGCGTGCAATGCAAACTCCCTACCTGCTGTATTGTTGCTCCAGCCACATCAACAGTTAAATTCTTTGAGGTTTTGGTTTTGTGGTGGTGGGGGAGGGGGGGTTGGGCCACACCCAGCAATGCCCAGGGCTTACTCCTGCCTCAGTGCTCGGGAATCACTCCTGGTGGGCTTGTGGGACCAAATGGGGCGTCCTACCCTATAATATCTCTCTATCCCTAAATTCTTTAGATTTTATTTTATTTTTTTTTTTATAAATTCTTTAGATTTTAAAGAGAAAAAGAAAGCTTGTTATTTCTTTGAGCCAGATGCTGGGGGTCAAACCACATGTAGGGCTCTCCTGCCTTGGGCCCCTCAACTGGGAATTGAGCAGTTTAAAATACCCATTAAAACTGAAAGCTTCCTTGTGTTGTTGCTTTACCAGAGTCTGATGGTAAACCAACTGGTTTGTTTAAGAATGGATTGCTGTACTCAAAATTTTCAAGGGGAGGAGGAAAAAAGCTTTGGATTAGATTGAGCTAATTAAAAGAAAAATAAACAGAGCGACTTTCCAGGAAGAGAAGAATCATATGCAACATGTTGTAATCTCAGACTTTATTGGCAAATAACAACAAGAGTAAAATTAGTTCTAAAAACTAAAAATTGTGAGCTGCATTCTGAAAGGAATGTAAATATAGCGGAGCATTTAGAAAACATAAAGGACATTTAAAAGTTTAAGGGGCAGGGTTGGAGAGATAGCACAGTGGATAGGGTATATGCCTTGCATGCAGCCCACCTAGGTTTGATCCCCAACACCGTTTGGTCCCTTGAGCCCTCCGTAAGTGATTCATGAGGGTAGAGCTAGAAGTAAGTCCTGAGCACTGCCGGGTGTGGCCTAAAAACCAAACCAAACCAAAAACAGTTTAAGGGGCATTGGAGCTAGAGTCAGTGGGTAGGCGTCTGCCTTACAAGCGGCACACCTGCGTGTCAGTCCCTAGCATGTGATCCGCAGCCCCGCCAGGAGTGAGCCATGAGCATTACTGGAATGGCCGTCCCCTCCCAAACCCTTGAAATCCTAAATGAGACCAAGCAGGAAGTCATTAGCATATCATTACCAAATTATATTTAATGTATACTTAATGTATCAAAAGCAAAAGTCTATCCCTGCACTGCAAACAAGTGAATTGACATAAAAATACCCAGCATTATCAAAGAGAATTGATTTTAGGAATAAGATATTAATTTTTTCCCCCCTGAAATGATGCTTTATGGGGGAGAAAACAATGTGATTATCTCACTAATTGCACTGACTACTGGATAAACTCACCTTTTTTGGTAAAGTACAAAACTCAAGATTTGATATTCTTATGGAACAGGATCCTTCCTTAATATGGTGAGGGGTAGTGTACATGGCAAGCTATCAGTGTCATCGTGCTGGGGGAGTTTTTCCTCTCCCATGCATCTACTGAGGACCTGCTATGGCCTCGGTACTTGTTTTGAGTACTGGCAAACTCTCCCAGGGCACCTAGTCTATTGGGGCACGTGCCAACCTAGTAAACAGTAAACCGAATGAGTGCGCACATGTGTGTTAGGGGAAGGATGAATTCTGTAGTTTTAAACCAGCACGGGGTTTGGGAGCGGTGGCATGTCTGTCGGGGATGGAGGCTGGAGGGGGCTGACTGGTGCCTGAGGCAGTTTCACCCAGGCAGGAAGAATGCCTGTCCTTGGTCACAAGTGTTGAGGTGGTGAAGAGGTAGGTGACGAGGGTGGGTCAGTTGTGAGGTCACAGAAGAGCTCTTCGGGTAGAATGAGAGCCTGGCCTACCACATAGCTCTTTCTTTCTTCCTCTTGGGTCTGAATTTGGTTTGCTGACCTGTAATTGTGGCATTTGGGAGCATAGTACCTGGCCGTGGGTGTAAGGCTCTATGTATCTTATGGTTGATAATGAGCTGGGGGAAAAGTTCTGCAAAATGAATATGAAAATTAAACAGTAACCCTCAGATCTATTAAAATACCCATTAAATATGATTCTAACACTTGGACATTTAAAAAGTTCATTTGATACTGGTATGAATCCAGAGGGTGGACTTGCCCCACCCTTGGACATAGTCTGGTGTGTTCTTGGACACTGGTTTGTACCAGATTTTGGCCATTGTGAAGGCTGCTGCAGTGAAAACAGTAGTGCAGATGGCATGGCTTTGCTTTTATTTATTTATTTATTTATTTATTTATTTATTTTGCCACACCCAGCGATGCTTAGAGGTTACTCCTAGCTGTCCACTCGGGAGTTCCTCCTGGTGGACTGGAGGGGCCATATAGGATGCTGGGGATCAAACCTGGGTCGGTCGCATGCACAACCCATGCTCTGCCCACAGCACTGCTGCTCCAGGCCGCAAATATCTTTTCTGAAGAGTTTTTGGGCCCTGGGGGTAGCTGGCCATAAGTGGAGTTGCTGAGTCATACAAGTCTTGGTTCTTAGGCTCTCTTGAGACATGTCCATATCTTCTAAGAAGGTGGAACCAGTGACATTCCCATCAGCAGTGGGGGAGGGTTTCTTTCCCCATGTTCATGCCAACACTGGTTATCTTCATTCTTTTTGATGAGTACTGGTCTCACAGATGCTGTGACTATTTTACACTATGGCTTTTTTGTTTGTTTTTATCTCCAAACCCCGACTCCATTTTTATTGTTGTTGTTTTTCTGTGAGCCACACGCAGTGGTGCTCAGGATCACTTCTGGTGGTGCTCCGCAGACCACAGAGGGGGCTGGGGATCAAACCTGGGTGGATCGACATCTGCATAAGGCAGGCACCCCGACCTCTCCCTTCTCTCCAGTCCTCCTGTTGTTCTACATTTCCTTGGTGCTCAGAGGTGGCATCTTTCACAGATGCCTGTTAGCCCCTGTCTTTTGTGGGGGACGTTTATCTGATTCCTCCTCCCCACTTCTGATGTGCTTGGTCATTCTTGTTGAGTTTCTGAAGTGCTTTACATATCTTGGATATTAGCCCTTTGTCGGATGAGTGTTGGTGAATATTTTCTCCCAGTCTGCTCCTGACTTCTTTTTCGCTAGGTGATGTTAGGAAACACTCCACATTTATGAGCATGACTTACTGGGGCTTCGTATTAGTGGCACCCTCCAATAGTGGGGCGAGGCCCACCCCCACATTGTAAGAGTGATGGGGGCCTAGCCCTCATCCATAAGCCCTTCTGAAGTATTTGAAGTAAGCCTTTAAAGATTGACTGCTAAATGTCTTGGTTTGGGTCTCTCCATGCAGGATTGCTGTTTCCTTTGTGGGGCGGGGGGGGGGGGGGGGGGCGGGGAGTGGGTGACATGCATCTGTAAATGCCATCGCGCAGCCAGCGGGCTCGTCCCTGCCTCTGTTGCCTTCTCTGAGTGGGCAGCTAGGACAGTGCTGCACAGGGGTGTTAGAGGCACAGCAGCTCACATGGGGTGTCAGATGCCTCAACGGGGCCTGGCATACGAGGGGGCACTGCCGGAACTGCGTCCGAGACCAGGCTCAGGCAGACAGGCACCGAGTGTCAGGCTTGACTGGGGGCACCTGCCCCACCATGGCCGGCCTTTCCAGAGCCCCTCCGCACCCTCTCTTCTTCATTCACTCTGTCCCTTTTCCAGCTCAGATAAAATCTGTCCACTTACAAGTTTCCCAGATCTACTTGGAAGCCTTTCAGGGCTTTTCTCTGATGATCAAACCGTTTCCTGCCTCTTTCTGCAGTGACACGCAGATCGTTAGGACGGGGTCATTGTGCTATAAGGGGCTCCGGGCTGTCGCCGTCTCCTGCTTCCGTGCTTTCTGTCAGCCGCCCTGCCCTGCAGTCTGCATCTGCTCACATGAGCTCTTACCCTGCTTCTTTTTTCTTCTCATTTACTGAATGTGAAGTTGGCAGTGTCAGGTTTTACAAAATAGCATTTATTGCAAGAATGGAAACTAAAATTGAGCTTGTAGGTTGGTTCTGAGTAACAGTGACACCTGGAATGTTGGGTTAAGCCAGGTTTGGGGCCATAGCCCAGCCCAATGGGAAATGCTCCCATGGAGGGGGGTGTCAGGAGGCATCATCACAGATGGGCTGTTTGTTGTCTGAAGCTGAAGGCCCCAGATTTGTCTTAACTGCCCCCTTTTCAGTAGGGAAAAAACTCACCAGGAGCTTCCCTGGAAATCTACCTTTAAGCAAAGTGTTGTCCCCTAAACTCCTCCTAGCCCTGGTGGACACTGCATTCATGGTTCTAGGGCCCAGCTGTCCCACCCATGTGGCCCCATCTTCACAAAGAGTGGGCAGGGGTTTGAGCTCAGGAGTGCCACAGTGAGTTAGAAGCCCAAGGGCACTGTCCTGGAACTCTCACAGAGACCTTTCTGGGTATTGATTTTTACTTTTTTTAGCATATTGAGGTTTCAAAATACCTGCATTGCTAGAAGGAAATGGTTTAAGAGGATCTTCACTTTATGCTGTTACTTTTAGATCAATAAGTGTTCTGTTAGTCAAATGTGAATAGAAAATGCAAGCCATGTTAAAATTCAGTGTTCTTTGGTATTTCTTGTTTTATCAGAATTTCATACTCAGTAAAATTGCAGATGTGCAATATATTCTCAGTGAAAAATACTAGATTATTATTAAGCTTTCACAGGGTGGATTGAATTTTCATATACTTCATTTGATGGCAATAAATAGGCTTGTCTGTATAATTCTTAGTTTTTATAATCATTTAATGTGTGAATATATCTAAGAAAGTTTAAATTTTTAAAATGAATTATTTCTGACATGTCTTTCCGTTTATACATATCACATATAACTTTTGCAGGTTGGACTTGCTACCATTCTATGCAAGATTGGTTGCTACATTGCATCCCTGCATGTCTGATGTAGCAGAGGATCTTTGTTCCATGCTGAGGGGGGATTTCAGATTCCATGTATGTATTTAAGCATTTATTTTGTAATATATATGCTTATAAGTCGAGTAAGGATTCTTTAGTTTAAGAACATGATCATTTTATTGGTAAGCATATTTTTGAAATTTGACAGTGGTGTAATACTTCAGAATGTGTGCAGGCTTGTGAGTCTCTAAGCGTACATTTACTTGCTGGAGTGTGAAATGACACCTGTGATCCAGTCTGAGCTGTCAGTGCTCCCTCGTTCCCCTCTTAGGTGTTCCCAGAAGGACCTAGGTGGGTGATGAGGCGAGGCCAGGGCCTGTTGGGTGTCTGGTAGGGGTCCGGGCAGCACAGACTCCCTGGGTGCTCAGAGCCCACGGATGCTGTCCGCTCCATGCTTGGGTTCTTGCTTTAAGCACATAAGAACTTGTGGGGCGATCTTTAGTGCTCACCCCGTGAGGTGCCTGGCACCTGTCCCAGTGGGGGGAGGTTTACAACCTTATTTTAGGGGCTCTCCAAAACCCACAGATTCTACCCTCTTGGAGAGATAATGAGTTCCTAATTCCGGCCTGCGAGGAGGGAGCTGTGATTGAGACCGAGCACTGGTAGACTGGAGGGACGTGACATTCAGGTGCGTGGGTGGCCAGATGGCACTGACCAAGTACGTGCATGACTAAGTACACGCGTGAGTGCGCTCAGACTGCAGGTGAGCGCCAGCTCTGCCCAGGCACACAGTGGGCAGGATGCCCAAGGAAGGACGGACACAAGCACAGAAGAGCGAAGTAACCGTGTCTACGCTGAGCGTAGTCAGTCTGGAGAGAGATGCTAGGCTTAACTGCCGCGGGAATGGGTCGTGAGCAGGTGCCTTGGGTTCAGAAGGCGGGAAATTGGGGGTTGGGGGCTGTTCTCTGCAGGCTTTTGCAAGGTGTCTGTGAGCATGAGATTTACGGTTGGAGTTTTTCTGGGCCAGCTTTTGCTAAAATGTGTGTTAGATTTTCGTAGCTACTAGTCAAGGATAGCTTTCTGTATTTAAAGTAGTTCGGATATACTGGGCTGAAGAAAGTTAAGTGTGCTTTTTTATTTACTCTGGATCTGTATTCTCTCTTGAACACATAGCTCTCTTTCTCTTCACTCACTTTTTTGTTTAAAGTAAATGTCTTTGAATGAAACTATTGTACTTCAGGGGCTGGAGCAGTAGTACAGCAGGTAAGGCGCATGCCTTGCGTGCAGCCGACCCGAGTTTGGACCCCTGAGCACTGCTGGGTATGACCCAAGAGCAATGCTAAGAAACACACATCTATTTTACTTCAAAGAAAGAGAGCTACGTGATTCTTGTAAGAATCCTCCACGAAGAGGTTGTGAGTAGGGGGAAGTACGTTCTGAGTCTCTCAGGGGCTGAATATGCTGCTGCTCGGAGAACACACCTTGCTCAGGGCTGCTGTCCAGAGCGGATGTGCCCTGTTACTGGTGCCTGCTGCGTTCCCCGAGTCACAGCCCTCAGCCAGCTCCAAAGAGGAAGCACCAGTGACTGTGCCAGCCAGGCAGGATTTGGGTGAAAATTGGTGAAAAAACCTGAAGCAATTTCTGTTTATACATACTTTTCCCACCTTTGAAAGATTGGGGTGGGGGAATTTGGGAAAGTGCATGCTTTTCACCGGCTGCAGCCAGAAGAGCAGAATTCCGGAGTGTGGGAACCGCTCTTGGGCGGGCAGGAGGGGCACCTGGGCTCATGTTCGCTGCCTTCCTCCACAGTCCCATGTTTCCTGGATCCAAAGTCCAGGCTTTTTCCCTCAGCGTTCTCACATCATTAAATGAAAAGAAGATGAAGTATAGCAGCAGCAGCCCCACCCTCAGCTGCTTGTCCCTCCTTCCCCGTTTCATTTTCTCTTTGCGGGTGTGTGCTCAGGGCTTCCTCCCGGCAGCTGCCCAGGATTGAACCCGTGTTGGCCCGTGGAAGGCAAGCGGCAGTGCTCTTCTCGAGTCGCCTCTACTTCTGCCATTCTCCCTTTGTTTCACATCATCCACCTGGCAGACCCTGACCCCTGCACGCTGGGTTAAATGCCACGTGTCAGCCCATTCCCCTGCAGACTGGGAATGCTGCGCTGTCCTGCCTTAGGAGACCGGCTCTGTCCTGTGCTCTCACTGTCACTTGGGCTGAGCCCGCAGTGCTCTGCTTCTGTTTCCTTGCCTAGGAGTCCTGGCTGTAATTGTGCCTTTTCAGCAGGATTGTCCTCGAGGTGTACATGCACGTAAAGTTGGACTCGCAGTGCCGGCTTAGAGATCCCTGCCTTGGCTCTCCCTCCTCTGCGGCCACCCTCTCCTGCTCTGCTCCGCACGGCCAGTCTCAGTACCGTTCTCGTTTTTTCTAGAGTTGCTCTGTTGGGGTTTCCCGGGCTCTCTTCCTTCACCCTCCTTTCTGGGGGAGCACCGTTGACCTGGGCTTCCCTAGCATCTGTCTCCCCGAAGCCTCAGATACTTCTCTCCTGCCAGTGCCCCTCACCCGGTGCTTGTCAGTTGTCTGTCCCTGTGGCTGAGTCTGCCCACACAACAAACTCCTTCATTCTCTTCTCAGAAATGTCTTCTTCACTCCCGCATTTGATATCGGTACCTGCCCTGTAAACTTGTGCTGTGTTTCTGTCTCATCCTGAAAGAAAGACTCCCCACTCTTGCCCTTCTGACTCTTGAGGCTGGCCTGGACTCTCCCTGCTGGCCTCTCAAGCTGCTCTGCAAACTGTCACCGTTTCCGTCAGCAGGACTAGTGAGCCACCTTCCTCTTGGGCTCAGCATATTCCCACATCGGCTCGTATCTGCCTTGGCTTACACTGGTTTTTAACTCATGAAATCTCATAGTATGATCATAGAAATTTCGATTCAAACAATAATTTGATCATTTGATGAACAGATTAGTGAAGAAAATTTAAAAGAGAGAGAGAGACCATTCTTACATACTCCAGATGGGAATTTAGAGGAGCATCTTGGCACGCTGTGTCTTGCGATTCTCAGAGGCACTTGTGATCCATTGAGCCACTCAGAGAAGCTTTCCTAAGGCGACCTACAGGCTCCGAGAGGCTCCTCACAGCATGACGTGTGCATATAATCACGGTGATGAAATACTAGCCGTGAGAAGTGGTGTTTGCCAACGAATTTTCATAGTACACAGAAAGCACTTCATTTTTTAAAAAGGCAAGATGTAAAATCTTTAAATTTAGTTGTAGTAAGTAGTTGGAGTGGAAAAACTAGAAAATAATTATACATCAGTATGAGTAGTGACTTTGGTTCGTGGGGGTATGAGAAATACTTCTTTCTCTAATTTTCTGTTTTCTCATTTTAGCAGAGCTTCTTAATAATAGAGAAAGTGGGGTCAGAGCTATGGTACAGCAGGAGAGGGCGCCCCTTGCCCGTGGCCAACCTGGGTTCTATCCCCTGCATTGCATATGGTCCCCTGAGTACCTCCAGGAGTAAATCCTGAGCACAGCTGGGTGTGGCCCAACTCCTTCACACCCCTCCCCCCCAATAGAGGAAGCAGCATTTATTTATTTTATTATTTTTTTAGCCACATTTATTTAAATATAAACATTTATTAAAATCACCATCACTAAGATATGTGTGTAATATATGTTTACTTAGTCTTGGGGCCACACCTGGTCATACTGAAGGCTCTGTGCTCAGGGCTCCCTCTTAATGTTACTGGAGAACCTTCTATGGTGCTGGGAGTCGAACCTGGGCTGACTGCAAGGCAAGTGCCTTACCTGCCTATACCCAGTACTGGTATTTTTAAATGTGTGGTCTTTTTGTTGTGTAGGTCTTTTGCCTTTCTACTGGTAAAATAAGTTCACTACATGTTTCAACAAGGCATGACTATTTATAAATTATATGTGCACTTGTACCACATCTTAAGTACAAGCTTTAAAAAATGGTAAGTGCAGAAGTGTGAAATAAAGCAATATTAATACATCGTCCAAGAAGAAAGTCTAATTTTATTTTTCCTTTTAGCATGGTAGCACGGTCCTCCCGTTTTTCATCGATTTGCTCGAGCTGACCCAGTAACATCTCCATCATGAGACTTGTTGTTACTGTTTGGCATATTGAATATGTCATGGGTAGCTTGCCAGGCTTTGTGCGGGCGAGATACTCTCGATAGCTTGCTGAGCTCTCCGAGAGGGGCAGAGGAATCAACCGGCTCTGCTGGGCTGGCTGCGTGCAAGGCAAACGCACTACCGCTGTGCTATCGTGCCTTCAATAAATTTATATTTTATTATTTTTTAAAAATTGAATCACCATGAGTGAAAGGTTTGAGATGCAACAGAATGTGGAACACAGAAGAGGGAGTAGGAGTTATCAGGAGGACAAAGAGAGAATGGAGGCATTGGCAAAGGTTTAGGAAGAGACCCACAGGAGGAACTCAGTAGGTGATGCTAAAGTTCACTCTAGGCTCTGTGTGATAGCTGGGGATTCAAGCCTGTGCATACAAGCCATTGCACTCTGAATTATGACCATGTTTATATCGATGAAAATTTCATCTGCTCCTGGGATTTTGAGCTACTTAATCTCTCCCCTCTTGCTTGAGCTTCTCAAACTCATGTTGCATTCAGTGTCCTTTGCCTGCTGAGTTGGCACTGCCCTTGCCTGATGTGACAATATTCCTTCTTAGACTTGTTTCTGAGACCCTAAATTCACCATCAGATATTCATCCTTTGAAAGAGTCATTATTATAGAATCTGCCTCCCTGCCTCCCTCATTATAATAAAAATGCTTTTGTGTGGGAAAAATACAGTCATATTGTCAGGGATGAAAAAAGAAACTGATATCGGTGGGTATCACCATGTTCTATATATTGGTTGACAGTTGATTCCTAAAGAGGTCTATCAGTGATAGTTGGGAATGATCTCTCTGGACAAGAACTGAGTGCTTTAAGTCGGTAAAGGGATATATGTAATAACCTTTCAGTACCTGTATTGCAAGCCATAATGCCCAGAAGGAGAGAAAGAGAAGAAAAGTGTCTGCCATAGGGGCAGGCACATGAGCATGTAGCAGGAAGGAAACTGGGGAATTGGTGGTGGAAAATGTATGCTGGTGGAGAGATGGATGTTAGAATATCGTATGACTGAAACCAAATCATGAGCAACTTTGTAACTGTGTATCTCACAATGATACAATTAAAAAAAAAAGGGAAAAAATGGAATCACCCTGAGATACAGTTACATAGTTGTTCATGAGTAGGTTTCAGTCACACAGTGTTCCAACATCTGTCCCTCTCCAGAGTATATTTTCCAGCACCAAAGGAAAAAAGTCTTAATCCATATCTCTGTAGATAAAAATCTCAACTTGCCCTAATTTGGAGACAGTGATCCATAGAATAAAATAAATTCCTTTGAAGCCAAACTTACTTAGGTAGAGACTTGTAAAGAGTATTTAGCAACAGAAAAAGCAGTTGAATGATAAAATGAATAAAGCTTTGATGAAACAAAAGGAGACAAACCATGGTATCTATGGGTGGAGTTTTAGAATGCTTTGGAATCCTGACTTTTATGTCTAAGAGTTTTTATTAATGCTCATGAATTTACTTTGTAAGTTAGTTTAGTTTCTACTTTCATCAGTAAATGAATAGGAAGTGCTCCTCAGGCTATAAAGATTATTCATTATAGAGCTATAGCCTTTCAAGAGACATTGTAGAGGAATATATATATATTTTATATATATATATTTTTATTCATCTGTACTGTTACGTGCTGGAGCGATAGCACAGCGGGCAGGGTATTTGCCTTGCACGCAGCCAACCCGGGCTCGAGAGAGAGCCAGCAAGCTACCGAGAGTATCTTGCCCGCACGGCAAAGCCTGGCAAGCTCCCCATGACGTATTCAATATGCCAAAAATAGTAACAGCAAGTCTTACAATTTGTTGTGAGACGTTACTGGTGCCCGCTCAAGCAAATTGATTAACAACGGAAGGACAGTGCTACAGTACCATTACAGAAATTGACTCTTGGGACCAGAGCAGTAGTACAGCAGGTAGGGCATTTGCCTGCCATGAAGCTGACTTGGGTTTAATCCCGGGTACCCCAGGAGTAGGGCGTCTGCCTTGCACGCAGCCAACATGGCCGACCTGAGTTCGATTCCTCCGCCCCTCTCGGAGAGCCCGGCAAGCTACCGAGAGTATTCGATATGCCAGACACAGTAACAACAAAGTCTCCAATGGAGACGTTACTGGGCCCGCTCGAGCAAATCGATGATCAACGGGAGGGCCTTTACTTTACTTTTTTACTTTACCCCAGGAGTAAGTCCTTACCACTGCTGGGTGTGGGTCCCAGGCTTGCCCCCCCAAAAAACCAGCTTTTGACTCTTTAAGGAATCAACAAAAGAAACTAGAAAATATTGAAAGAGAAGTATGCTTATTTTTATTTATTTATTTATTGCTTTTTCTGGTCATACCTGGCGATGCACAGGGGTAACTCCTGGTTCTGCACTCTTGTGTCTCCCACCCTGTTTCGAGAGTGTGTGTGTGCACGTGCTTGTGCATGCACAAATAACTGCTCTCCCTAAAATTCAACTTCCTGTATTACTTTTGAAATGCTTTGCTACGCATTTTTTGTTTTACCTTCACTTATTATTTATTTATTTTGGTGTTTTTTGGATCACACCTGGCGATGCACTCAGGAATCACCCCTGGCGGTGCTCAGGGGACCATATGAGATACTGGGAATCGAACCTGGGTTGGCTGTGTGCAAGGCAAATGCCCTACCCGCTGTGCTATTGCTCCAGCCCCAGCCTTTACCTATTTTTAAGTTTATTTTGGGTCACCTGGTGTTGCTCAGTAGTAGCTCCTGGTTCTGCACTCAGAAATTACTCCTAGCGATGCCTGGGGGATTACATGGGTTGCCAGGGATTGAACCCAGGTTGGCTGTGTGTAAGGCAAGAGCCGCCTCCCCTCTCTGCCCTCCCCCTCTGTACTCTCTCCAGTCCCCTTATCTTTTTAAAAACTGGAACTCGCGCATGGTGTGATTCACAAAATACAAAGTTTAGTAGGAAGAAGGGAAGGAGCCTCAGCACTTAAAAGTAGTTTGAGTTAATATGTTAGTTATTTTCTGTACCTATTTTCTTCTCTAGCCTTTCATTGATGAACTTGTATCTTTTCAATAGTTCTCTCACTCAGGATGTCATTTGAAACATTCCTTCTGCATCCTAAAGGTTGTATGATCCTTGGTTATATACAGTGTGTATGAAGGGAAGTTCCCGCCATGATCTCCCATGCCCCGGTTTTGTTTTGTTGGGGCCACTTCCGGCTTGTTGCTGGGGCGTGGGGCTGGCGCTAGCTGTGCAGGGAACCTTGTGTTGGGGACTGGACCTGGGCTTCCTGCACATAAAAAGATGTACTTTCTCTTTGTAGCTAGTGCCCCAGCTCATAGCCTCTTTATTTCTCTTCTCACTTTACCAACCAGTCCAGCAGGTTCTGGGAGTTTATGTATCTCTGCTTATGCGGCTTGTTCAGCATCCAAAAGATGACACCAAAGCACCACTAGGGCTTCGATGTTATGACCAAATCTTTTGCTCTTTTATACCTCTAAGATCGGTCTAGATTGGTAGATATGTAGGGATCTCCCAGCTCTGTGCTCAGGGGTCAATCCTGGGGTCTCAGGGGACTCTCTGGGGCCAGGGATTGACTGTAGGTCGGCCACGTGCGTGTCCACTCTTGCTCCAGCCCCCTGTAAGCACCATAAGTGTGCAGTGTTTGGTGCCCAAGAGATACCTGCTGGGCCTGCAGGAGGGCCGGCTTTGATTCCCCAGGACTAATGCAGCCCCTGAGCACCACTGGGAAACAGGGAAGCCTTTTGTTTACTCAGTGAGCATTTATTTAGTGCCCATCTAGTAGAGGTCCAGAGATAGAGAACATTGGTCACTTGGATTGCTTCCATTGTATAGGTGAGGAAGTTGAGCAATGCATGAAGTGGCAGCTCGATTTAAATGCAGCACATCTGATTGAGAGTATACACCTTCTAAGCTAGGAGTCCATAAAAGAAGATAACTTCCTAAGAGGAACTTCCTGGATACTGTATTTATCCTATTTCCTTGTGAGAGGGTCTTCATGAAGGCTGTGCTCTTTTAACTTTCATGGCTGAAGTCAAGTTTCTTCGGTATTGCACTGTTTAACGTTATAAACGGACCCTGGTTCTGGCTTTTCTATTTGCTCTAATTTCAAGACTATCTATATGCTTAATAAGTTGTGATACAAATAAAGTTCTGTCGGAGCTGGAGCAACAGTACAGCGGGTAGGATTCTTGCCTCACATGCAGCCATGCACCTTGGTCCCTGGGATCCCCTCTAGTCCCTGCGTCTACCAGGAGCGACCCCTGAACACAGTCAGGAGTGGTTCCGGAGTGTAGTCAGTTGTGACCCCCCCCAAGCCAAAAATAAAGTTCTGTAATTGACGTTTTTGTGATTTTTATTTGATGTCGTTTTGTTGGTCCTTCAGATCAGTGAGGTTTTAATGAGTTTCAGGTTTACTGTGAATTTTGATGAGTAAGCGTGGTTGTATTTTAAAATTATTCCTAAAGATCTGAAAAAAAAAAATCTAAACACCTTCCTCTGATTGGTATAGTAATAACAATATATATTCCTGAAAAATTAAGAAGGTACATTCTTGGTGTTTGCTATCTGGGTCTGAAAATTCAGTGTTTCTAGAAATGGCTACCATGAATTGTTTAGTCACTGGTGAGATTAAGTCTTATTTTGTACCCCAGCACATAACTAGAGGGGACATTGCAATAGAGTGCAGTTAACAAGAGACTGGAATTTTAATATTAATTTTTTGTTATTGGTTAGTGTTATTTTTACATATAAACTCAGTTTTTTAAAAGTAGTATTCCTCAGAATTCTGGGTGGATCCAGCACTGTGATTTTATTCTGGAAGAAAAATATGACACCGACTTAATTGAAAGCACCATTATGTTAGGGTTGTTGTTATTCAAAAGATTTCTGTTTTCTGATGAAAATGAAATTTTTGGGGTTAGACATGATTCTAGTTATCTTGATGTATCTGTTTGTAGCATGCCATTGTAAAGAAATTTTGTTGTAGTCAATGTTTCTTAAAATATGGGCCATAAGTAGAGAGCTTATATTTGCAGAGTATTTGAATTTTGCCTCATTTACTGTCGGTAAGAATAAAATAATAGCAATTATATTAGAAATTTTTATGAAGTTATAATAAAAAAGTGGTATTTACTTTGTAACTACTACATCAACTAAGCTTTAGTATATTTGCTTAAGAGAGTTATTGGTATTCATTATTCTTAAAGCAGCATTTCTTAACGTGTATTCCTTATATTAATTTAGTAGAGGAATTAGTAGTCAGCAGTTTTTAAAAGGGGTTTTATATTGCCAAATAAATTTGAGAACCATTGAATTAAGTTTTCCTTATTTGAGAACCTCTAAATATGATGAAAATGTGGTTTCCCCAACCATGTGACCATGGAATTGTTTTGCAAAAGACATCTTTGCTTTTGTATTCTCTATAGCATATTTTGCCTTAAAATAATTTAAGTATAGCAAGAAATTATACTACATTAATTTAAAATATTTGGGGTGAAATATATGTTTTTATCAGATTTTAAGTTGTTAATTGTCTAAATAGGATCTAATCTTTTTTATTTTGTAGGTACGAAAAAAGGACCAGATCAATATTGAAACAAAAAATAAAACTGTTCGTTTTATTGGAGAACTTACTAAGTTTAAGATGTTCACCAAAAATGACACACTCCATTGTTTAAAGGTAAGTGGTGATTTTTTTACTAATAAAAAACATACATTTTTAGTTGTGAGTGCTAAAAAAATAAAATGATTAATTTGGAGGAAGACCAAATTACTAGCAATATACTGAGTTGAATACAGTAATCAATTGTAATTGATCACATACCCATTATCAGTTGCTTCAAACGTTGAATCCTTTACCAGGAATCAGCCATAAAGTCTAAGCAAATCCAAGAAGACTGAGCATTTGGTGACCGCACGCCCTGGTTTCCCACGTAGGTCATCCCATTGGGAAGCTGATGCAGACAAAGTGCGTTCCCTTCTAGTGGAGTTGATTCTCGCCAGCAGTGGGTTTTCCCTTTAATTCCTTTGGGATATCACACAGAATGGTTAGCGTGAATTTAGATATATTTGGAAAACCCCAAGTTGAACCGCATCAATCAAATTTGTGTCCCGTGTGATTACCCAGGATGTGTTGCGTTACCTGTCTGTGCTTGGGACGTTGCTCAAGTTTCAAGAGCGCGTGCCTCGGTAGGGGCCTCATCCGGGCAAATATATTTCTTTGTTTATGTCGGTGATCAAAAGCATATGTCAGACGGATGCACATTTCTTTGACACAAAAATTCCATTTCTAAAAATTCATGTGAAGGAACTACAGTCCTAGATGGTTGTCACAGGGTTATGGTCTCCAGATAGATCAGGATCACTGAGGGGTCTGGGAGGCGGCCCACAGGGCTGCGGTCCTTTGCTCACTTCCGCCCTGAGGTGGGTGGATCCCCAGCCGCCCGGGGCCCCCAGCTTGAGGGGGACAGCCTGGTTCACACTGCACCACGAAACCATGTGGCCTGTAGGGCTGGGTGCCCCTGGGCCCCATGAGCACTTCTGGGACTGGGAGAACCTCCGCTCTTCCACACAGACTTGCTCGTAGTAGAGTGCTTGGTTTAGACTCTGTGCACCATCTGAGTCATGTCATAAAGAAAATGAAATGAAAATACACTCATGCTCCGCCACAAAAGCCAAGTTATTAAATGAAATATCCAAATCTATTTTGGTTTTGAAATTGAGCTCAGAAAAATATTGGGAGGATAAATTCTAAAATGCCTCGGTGGCGTATTTTGTTTATGAATTTCGTACAAGCCTTTTGTTGTCAGAATTTTGAAAAGTAAATGTCATGTAAACCAAACCCAAACAAAACAGTAAAAGCCGTTTAGAAAATATCATCTGTGTATGTGGTGTGTGTTTACGTAGCATCTATGAATATAGAAAAGGTTTTAATAGTAGTCTTCATACATCTGTTTGAGGAAAGACATTAAATACATTGAAATTTTCAGTCAGAAAATTTTGACTCATCGAAAGGATGCCTTGCGAACAAGCTTGTTTAGCTCGTGTAGATGAGCTTTTGGTTTCTACACTGACATTTTTAAAGTTGTCATAAACACTAGAAGTATAGTATTTTCTTTCTCTAATAGGAATGAAGTCTTTCTGGGTCTTTTTATTACTTTCATTATTATAGATGCTTCTGTCCGACTTTTCCCATCACCATATTGAAATGGCGTGTACCCTACTGGAAACATGTGGAAGATTTCTTTTCAGATCTCCAGAATCACACTTGAGGACCAGTGTACTCTTGGTAAGGGGCTGAGGACCTGGGGACAGCTCGGCCCTGGGGTTGAATCAGTGCCTGGTGGGGTGTGGGGACCTCCAGGGCTACCCCGGGCCGTGCTGGGGCCTGAACTGCGATCAGCCCCATCAGCCTCTGTGATGTCTCTCACCCTTCCTAGGGCTGTAAGTACCATTGAAAAGCTTTTATCAGGTAGGACAAATAGGATCAGGTGTGTATGTGTGTGTGTGTGTGTGTGTGTGTGTGTGTATGATGCTTCATCAGGTAGGACAGAAAGGATCCAGATAGGATAAGGAGGGTGTGTGTGTGTGTGTGTGTGTGATGCTTCATCAGGTAGGACAGAAAGGATCCAGGTGTGTGTGTGTGTGTGTGTGTGTGTGTGATGCTTCATCGGGTAGGACAGAAAGGATCCAGATAGGATAAGGAGTGTGTGCGCGTGTGCATGTGTGTGTGTGTGTGTGTCCCATACTTTGCACACACTTTGTTAGTTGTGGTGCTTGCTGGGGTCCTATTCCATTGTCTGAGCATTTGGTGACCGCACTCCCTGGGAGCCATCCATTTGCTGCGCTGTTTCCACAGTCTAGCGCCTGTCGAGAGTCACAGACCATGGAAGTCACAGGCTCTGGGTGGCACTGATGACCCCAGCCTGCAGAGCTGCTGGGACTGCACCTGGCACACCAGGTGCTGCCTAGGTTGGATGACGGGTCTCACCAGCCTCACGCTTGTGAAGCAGGTGCTAAGGCGCTGTTCTCAGGCCCCAGGCTGGTATTTTCAGAAAGATCGGTGTGGAGGGAAGACGACAGGCAGGACAGAAAAGTCAGCAGGAAGGGGCACGGTGGTGGCATGCAGGCAGGACTCGGGTGGCTGATATCGAGCCCTTTTTGTGGTGTTAGGAAGCAGAGACTGTTGGCATGTGCTGGGGAAGTGCTGTGAGGTGAGGAAGAAGAAATGTGCAACGAGAGGCCGAGTCTGAATCCAGGTCCCTAGATGAGGGCCAGCCCCCAGCACGGGTCCGGGAAGGTGATAAGCAGTCACATGCCTAGAGGGTGTCCGAAGTACACTGGGGTTTGTTTGGAAGCATAAAATGCTTGAACTGGCTTGAATTCGGCACTGTTCTGGACTGATGTTTGATCAGTTTGACGTATGTGTTGGGGAGACCGTTGTAAAGCAGCCTCCACCGGTGGTTTCCATGGCCAGTCTGTGGAGCAGTGCTGGCCCAGTGGTAGAAGAGCTGTTAGAAGTGTGGAACTGTTCTCGTTGTCTTCGAAGTATCAGCACAGGCTAAAGCGTTCACAAGTTAAAATGGAGTGTCAGTAAGCTGTGTACACACATGTGCGCACACGCACACACTCAAACACATGTGCGTGCACGCAGCATTAGCAGACGAGAAACAGTCGAGAGCCTGGTGTACTCACAAGGGGTCTGACTCACAGAGCAGACTTCTCCCCAGTGTGTGACGGCTTCCTCAGGAGAGCAGAGCAGAGCGTGGGAAAGCTTGGCCGAGGCTCCAGACATGAGGCGGGGAGCTTTTTAGTCCTGGGTATCCACAGAGAAGCGTCACTGCCCGTTCTGGAGCTGACCAGACGTGACCTGAGTAGAGCTGGACACCGTGCCCCCCTTCCCCCCCACCCCCCATCATTCTGACGTCCAGCTCTGGAGGTGTCCCACACGCCTGGAACCCACAACTCTCCAGCTCTGGAGCTTCTGTGTGACCAGCTTCATCTCATCTCGCCGACCCTGTACTGACCTTAGTCTGAGCGTCACCCCCAGCCCCTTACCCTGCCCCCACCTCGCTGCCCCTTAGCTCCCCTCATAACCTCTGTTCTCACCCTCGCCACTGCTCTGCTTCTTTCGTGGTCAGAGCTAAAATGTCACTTCTTGGAGAGGTTTGCCCTAATAGCTCTTAAGTGAAAAGTAGGAGCCCATTCTTCTTCTTCTTCTTCTTTTTTTAATATATCACTATGTGATACAGTTACAGACTTACAAACTTTTATGATTACATTTCAGTTATACAGTGATCGAGTACCCATTCCTCCACCAGTGCCCACTCTCCACCACTAGTGTTCCCAGTATCCCTTCCGCCACCCCTACCCCATCTCCCCGCCTCTGTGGCAGGCACACTTCCTCTTACTCTGTCCTTCTTGGTGTTACGGTTTGCAGTATAGGTAGTAAGTGAGCCCATTATTCCTCCTCATCCCAGCACCGCGGCATTTTCCTTCGTACACTGGTCACACTAAGTTTATTTGTGGGCCAGCTTTTCCCTCTTTGTCCCAGACTAATTAGACTTGTTTTTACAAAGCGGGAATCATATTTTCTTGTTTGTTGGCCATTTCCTAGCATTTTGCATAGTGCCTAGCTTATCTTAAGTTCCAAGAGGAATGTGTGTCAGGGACTGAGTGAATCCAATTATCTCAATCCTTAAATGGACGCCGTTTTAAGACCTAGGTGTGCTGTTTGAATCTCTCTGGGCTCCACCGTGAACCAGCTAACAGGACACCAGCCTGCCCAGCGTGTCCAGAGGGGCCAAGCCTTAGTAGATGATGTGGGCTCAGTCAGTGAGTTAAGGACCCTGGACATGTATCAGGTGAAATTTGGCTTTTGGCTTTCTTGTTTGTGGAAACAAGTCAGAATTTCCTGGTGCAATACAAGAGGGCACAAGCTCTAAGGATAAATTCTTCTCGGGTGGTGCTTGTGGGTGAGCCAGAGCAAGCATTGTCTGAGTTTCTCTGTTCTTGTTTCTTCAGTCCCTCGTCGTGAATGTGAGCCGGGTCTTACTGAGAGACCAGCCACTTGTCAGAACTGCTCTGAACTGATAGATGTAGGAAGCGTGAGTTTCAGTGGAGCAGGCTTGGAGCAAGCAGTCCCGGGTGAATTTGTTCCAGAGTGTGCTCTGTGGTCTGAGGGGGCCCACGTGCTTTCCAGAATACCTGGTGGATTATTGTTTTCTTTTTCCCTTTTCCTGAAGTCTTGCCACTAAAAATGGAAGTTGACTTAGAATTAGGAAAATCTTGGGATGAAAGGGTTTTGATGAGTTTGGATTTTAATTGTAGGAACAAATGATGAGAAAGAAACAAGCAATGCATCTCGATGCAAGGTACGTCACGATGGTGGAGAATGCTTATTACTATTGCAACCCTCCCCCGGCTGAGAAAACGGTGAAGAAAAAGAGGCCTCCGCTCCAGGAGTATGTCCGGAAACTGCTGTACAAGGACCTCTCCAAGGTCACCACTGAGAAGGTCAGTCATCACGGAAGTGTGGGACAGTGGTTGTTGGGCTCCCTACAGAGGGACCACGTTTGTCAGTGTTCAACGGATGTCATCCTTTCGCACTCCTTCTCCAGTGTGTTGTTTGGGATCAGAAACCTGTATTTCAGTACTCTAGATCAGTTGTTCATATAATCCTTCAGCACCCCACAAAGTAGACGCAGAGCATTCTTCACATTGTCAGTGAAGAAATTGAAGCAGAACTATTAAGGAAACTTTCGGAGGCCGTGTGGTACCAGGGATTGAACCCGAGTCTGTTCTGATACGTGTGCTACCATGAAGTGTTTCCCATTTTGAAACAGACCACACAGCCACAGTCAAGAATATAGACCTGGGGCTGGAGCGATAGTACAGTGGGTAGGGCGTTTGCCTTGCACGCGGTTGATTCGGGTTCGATCCCCGGCATCCCATATGGTCCCCCAGCACCGCCAGGAGCGATTCCTGAGTGCAGAGCCAGGAGTAAGGTGTGACCCAAAAAGCAAAAACGAATAAAATCTGCCAAGCTTAAAACAAATTTTAAAAAAAGAATCTAGACCTATTTATGTTGAATTCATTGCTGTGGTGTGCTCATTATAGTAATGGACAAATTCTCTTCATTTAGGTTTTGAGACAGATGCGCAAATTACCCTGGCAGGACCAAGAAGTGAAAGACTATGTCATTTGTTGTATGATAAACATCTGGAACGTGAAATATAACAGCATTCACTGTGTGGCCAACCTCCTGGCAGGGCTGGTGCTGTATCAGGAGGATGTTGGAATACACGTTGTGGATGGGGTTTTAGAGGATATTCGGTTAGGAATGGAGGTAAGCACGGGAATGGCTGTGCACTCGGGAGTTGCTCCTGCGGTGCTTGGGGACCACATAGGATCCTGGGGATGGACCCGTAGTCGGCCCCCTGCAAGGCAAATGCCCTCCCGGCCCTACTATCGCTCTGGCCCTCGAATGACCTTTAAATCTCACTATTGAAAATAATCCTTTGAAAACCATCCTTTCTCCTGCTGTCATTTCCTTGTGCTACTTTGGAGTTAGTGGTTTCTTGATAAACCCTGCTTCTCTCGGGGGCCTTTTATACCTCTGGAATAAGAAGGTGTTTGATTCCTGGAATGCAGAGAAAATTTATGGCAGTATTGAGAGAACTGCATCTGACCGTTTCACGCTATCAATCCATTTAGTGATCACTTCATACTAAGTATACTGTTCAGTCGAGTCTTTTTATTGCAGTATTTTAAAGAGAGCTGTTTCCTAGAGACAGAAAAGGGGCACCCGGGGGCGATCACTTTACTTCCAAAGAGGAAGGACATTCACCCCTTTTCCACCCCTTCACTTTTTTTAATGGCAGTGTTCTCCCCTCTCTGTGCCTTCCACTCTCCCTTCAGGTTAATCAGCCAAAATTTAATCAGAGACGTATCAGCAGTGCCAAGTTCCTAGGAGAACTTTATAATTACCGAATGGTGGAATCAGCTGTTATCTTTCGAACTCTTTATTCCTTTACTTCGTTTGGTGTCAACCCTGATGGCTCGCCGAGCTCGCTGGACCCTCCAGAGCATCTCTTCCGAATTCGACTAGTCTGCACTATTTTGGACACCTGCGGCCAGTACTTCGACAGAGGCTCCAGCAAACGAAAACTTGATTGCTTCCTTGTATATTTTCAGGTATGCCGCTCGTGTTCGTCATTGTTCTTTTGACTCTGAGAAGAAAACAGGACAGTGTTCATATATCAGAGACAGTGTGCCCCTCCTTGGATTAAGTCTTTTGCAGGATGATTTTTAGAATTGAAAATACACAATGGAGGCGCCATTTAATTTTGTTTGTTTGTCTCCAGCGTTACGTTTGGTGGAAGAAAAGTCTGGAGGTTTGGACAAAAGACCACCCATTTCCTATTGACATAGATTACATGATCAGTGATACTCTTGAGCTGCTTAGACCAAAGATCAAGCTCTGCGATTCTCTGGAAGAATCCATCAGGCAGGTGCACGACTTGGAACGAGAATTCTTAATAAAACTAGGTAAGCAGTTAATCACAGAAGGGAAGTGAAGGCGGGTCCTGGAGTTTGCTCTGCATCTTTGGCAGCGTCTGCTCTGGCCTCTCTCTTCTATGATGACTGTCACAGGAGAGCGTTGGGTAGACTCTGGTGACCTTTTCTTGATTTCATTGAGTTACCTTAGTTTGAAGGAAAATAGTCAAGTGGGACTTGAAGCAAATGGTAGGCACAGAAACCAACCTGTCGGCTTCTCTTATTTTATATTTTGGGTCACACCTGATGGTGCTCAGGGGACCATACAGGGTGTCAGGGATCGAATCCAGGTCAGCCCTGTGAAGGCAAACCCCTCCCTGCTGTACCCTTTGCTCCTGCCTGGCGAATTCTTTTAATTTTAGAATTTTGGGTCGCTTATCTACTATCTGCTTGCGTGGTATACATTTTCAACAAGCGTTTTTTGTGTGTGTGTTTTGCGACCGTGCAGGCTAGAAGGAGGGGAGGGGAGTCCTTGTGAGGTGTTAGGAACTGCTGGGCGGTTAGGCCTGACACTCACTAGGAGTGCCGCCTCTCTTTCTGGACTAGAGGAGATGTACTGCTAGAGAGCTTGGTTTCCTCCCTTTTCCTCCTGCAACTTGCCAGAGAGGACTGTGGGCAGCTGGGCCATGGTCAGTAGGGAGAGCACAGCCTCTGGCCTCCAAGCTCCATGGGCTGTTCTGTGCCTGACGCTGTATGGCACCTGTCTGACGCTCAGAAACTCTGGCCTTACCAGTTGGACCAGTTGTATCACTTCACGTTGCAGATTTGAAGAATCAATTTGGATAAGCCTGAGCATTTAATTTTTTCTCTTAAACCTTTTTCATACTATGTTCAGCATGGTAATAAGATTTTTTTTTTGCGGGGTCCCCCTCCATTGGTGCCTGGAGTTTGGGGGTCCTGCCCCCAGCAGTCCCTGTCTTGGTATGAGCCTGATGGTGCTTGGAGTCAGTGGTGCTGGGTGGGCCGCTGGGGGCCGTGCAGTGTCGGGGAGCTAGCTTCAGGGGCTCTGCTAGAGAGGCAACCGCTAGCTTTTCTGCCTACTAAACTCGTAAGAGCAATTAATGGTTCTTTTTATTAGTTGCACTTTCTCCCCAAGTTGTCTACTTTTTTTTTTCTTCTTTGGGTCACACCGGGCGATACACAGGGGTTACTCCTGGCTCTGCACTCAGGAGTTACTCCTGGCGGTGCTCAGGGGACTGTATGGGATGCTAGAAATTGAACCCGGGTCAGCTGTGTGCAAGGCAAACGCCATACCCACTGTGCTATTGCTCCAGCCCCTTATCTACCTTCTTTTTCTTTTCAGGTTTCTAATGGTATAGAACAGTTATTTCAAGCAGAAGACTTACTTATTTGTTTTCTTCTTTTGTTTCACTTACTTGATGTGTTTTGAAATAATTAAGCCTTACCTCTGTTTTCCCAAAGCCTTTGTGAATAGCGTTATCTGTATGGTGTGTATGAGAAAATACTGGTTTGGTGCTGTTTGCGGTCCAAGAGCAATGGAATGCGCCTTGTCCTTTCGAGACCAGAGTCAAATTAAAATACATCAAGCTTCTTCTCAGGCATCTGTGCTCAGAATCCGGGAAGGAGGGACCAGAGGGATCGGCTGAGTGCATGCTTGCCTGGCAGACAGAGGGCCTGGGTTCTAGTCCCAGTACCCCAGGGGGTCCCCCACCCTCAGTTATGGAAAGAAAAAAAATTGTTTACTGTTTGTAGATGTGGAGATGTGGTTCTTAAAAGATAGTGGCAGCTAGAATCATTATGCTTCTCAGGTCACCCCCATTTCCTCCTGCTGCTTAGAGTCTAAATTGTCAGCAATTCAGGAGTAGATGTATGCATTAAATCTAGTTTGTTTTGTTTTTTGCTATACCATAAGATATTAGCATAATATCTTGCTTATGGTAATTTTTGGTTTTCAGGCACTTTCAAATGATTTCATTTTAAACTAATAATTATCAGGAAAATAATGAAAACAAACAAAAAAGATCACCAGTATTCCATACACAAAGATAAACATATATAAATGTTTTCATACACACTTTTTTCTTTCATGAGGTTCCACATTTCAGTATTTTCACATCGCCAACTTTTATCACATAATGTATGAAATTCTTCCTCACGTGAATTTTTTAAAAAAATTTTATTTAAAAATATTTTTTAAATTGTTGCATGAAAAATTTTTAACTCTTCATTCTTTTTCAGTTGGCTATGTCTTTATGTATGAATGTGGTATAATTTATTCTGTTAGCTGGGATTTGGGTTATTTGCCGTTTAATACCACTATAAATAGTATACTCGGGGGCTGGAGAGATAGCACAGTGGGTAGGGCGTTTGCCTTGCACGTGAACGCACCCGGGTTCGATTCCCAGCATCCCATATGGTCCCCTGAGCACTGCCAGGAGTGACTCCTGAGTGCAGAGCCAGGAGTAACCCCTGTGCATTGCCGGGTGTGACCCAAAAAGAAAAAAAAAATAGTAAAATAGTATACATGTGTTATTCATATGTACCTTGGTTTTCTCAGAATAGATAAAAATCACTATTTTTATCTATTTTTTTAACTTCAGAACAAAACTTTCCCTTACTTACTTACTGCTCTAAGTGAATGGTTGAATTACCTATGTATTTGGGTTTTTTGCCACAACCAGTGTTACTCAGGGGTTACTCCTGGCTCTGCACTCAGGGATCTCCCCTCGTGGTACTCGGGGGACCATATGGGATGACGGGGATCCAACCCCAGTCAGCCACTGGCCAGGCCAACACCCTATCCACTGTTCTGTCACGCCAGCCCCTGGGCATAGTTTTCAGTAAGTGCTGCAGTGTTGAAACTGTCTCTTTCGCCTTTCCAATGTATTTTTCTACTTTCTCACATCTTAAGGCCTCGTAAATGATAAGGATTCCAAAGATTCGATGCCAGAAGGGGAGAACCTTGATGACGATGAGGAAGAAGAGGAGGGAGGAGCTGAAACGGAGGAGCAGTCTGGGAACGAGAGTGAAGTGAACGACCCGGAAGAAGAGGTGCTGTTCTTAGTGTGCCTGTGTAGTCCATGTGTGACCCAGGATGTGCTTCAGTGTCTGTCCTGCCCCCTCTACTTCTCTGAGCGTGCAGTACTCAGCAGTGCTGGGGGCTGACTCCTGGAAGGGCTCAGGGGTACGGGCATCTAACCCAGTTGCTGTGTGCAAGGCACGCTGACCTGGGTGTGCTCAATCCTCTCTACCCTTTGGTCCCCCGAGTCTTCCAGGAGTGAATCCCTGAGTTCAGGGCCAGGATTCATCCCCCTGAGCACCACCAGATGCGGCTCAAACCCAATCCTTCCCCCCAAAAAAAGAAAAGAAATGTTAATGTATTTTTAGCTTAGCTTTTACCTTTTTTTTGAATCAGAAATACCTTTTTAATACTGCTAAAGGTATTATTAGGTGCTTCTCTTTTGCAAATTTAACTTTGAATTACAGAATTAAGTTCATACAGGGGAAAAATACATTCATTTTTGTACTTCCTTAAAGTCAAGAAAAGCACCCAGAGGTGTTCAGGACTTCTGGCTCTGTGTTTAGGAGTCCCTCCTGGTGGGACTTCGGGGACCATATGGGATGCTGGGGATCAAACCCAGGTTAGCCGCATGAAAGACAAAGGCCTTCCCAGCTGTGCTATCACTCCGGCCCCCAGTAATTAATTTTTAGTACTGATTTTACGTGTTCTGTGGATGATGTTGACAGATGATTAGCATTTGCTTTCTCCTGGAAATGATCTCTTAGTCATTTTGGCACAGTGAGAAGCAGCTGGATTCAGTGTCGATCTTTTGTGGATGATGTGCGTTGGGGGTAGACAGGCAGACATGGGAACTTTTCCCTGTGTGTTTTTTCCTCCTTTTGTACCTTTTGGGAAAATACGATTAGGCTCTGTCAAGTCTTGTTTTACAGGACTTTCCTGAAGACAGAGAGGCTGGGAGATGCTGTGTAATTTCTCACTGTCACTGGTAGCAGTGTAGCTTCATATGCGTCACCGCACTCTTTGAGCCTTCATTTGTTCCTGTATTAAAGTGGGACAGAGGGGCTCAAGAAATAGCACAGCGGGTAGGGCATTTGCCTTGCATGCGGCTGACCCAGGTTCAATTCCCAGCATCCCATATGGTCCCTCAAGCACTTCCAGGAGTAATTCCTGAGTATATGAGCCAGGAGTAACCCCTGAGCATCATCGCTGGGTGTGACCCAAAAAGAAAAAAAAAAAGAGGGACAGGGAGATGTCGCTCGATTGGAGACTTGTGTCTGTTGGGCTCTGGTTCAGTCCCCAGCATCACCAAGAGTATGGGAACAGAGACACTTTCTCTGGCAAACGCGGGCAGAGCCAAACAGAACCAAGTGCTTGTGAGCATCTTCTCCAGGAGGTCCTCCCGGGATGCAGGGTCACTGCTGTCACTGATGCTGCCGTGAGCTTGGGCGCCTCCGTTTCTGGGAAGTAAAGCAGAACTGTGAGACACCCAGTCTCAAGTTAGTGTCAGGGGAGACGGTCACGGAAGGCTCTGGAAACTCATCCGTAGGATGTTCGGGGGAGGGCTCACCCAGAGGAGCTTGTAGCAGGGTCTTGATGGGCCTGGCTGCTGTGCCCCTTCCCTTGTAGGTAGACGACATGAAACGTTTCTCATGAAATGTGAGAGCAGTAAACAGGTGCACAGAAGTTCTAGAATCTTCTCGAGATCTCCTGCAGGTGGCTACCTGAGCTGGAGAGACACTTGGTGGACAGGAGCAGAACCTGCCCTTGGGTCCCCAGCGCACACTCTCCCGAGCAGTTGACATGGCCCAGAAACCAACCAAAATGCTGTGACCCTTCTCAGGGTGTCATAGTAATCTGAGACTGTTTTAGGAGGGTTCTGATAACGACGATGATGAAGGAGAGGACGAAGAGGAGGAGAACACAGATTACCTTACAGACTCCAATAAGGAGAATGAAACTGATGAAGAGAATACGGTAAGTACGGCGGAAAGGCTCTGCACAGCCTTTAGCCGATGAAATGTTTCTTTTGATATTGGCAAATAAACACTGTAGCACTGTCCTCCTGTTCATCGATTTGCTCGAGCGGGCACCAGTAACGTCTCCATTGTGAGACTTGTTGTTACTGTTTTTGGCATATCGAATATGCCTTGGGGAGCTTGTCAGACTCTGGCGTGCAGGTGAGATACTCTCAGTACCTTGTCGGGCTCTCCAAGAGGGATGAAGGAATCGAACCCGGGTTGGCTGTGTGCAAGGCAAACGCTCTACCCACTATGCTATCGCTCCGCCCTTTGGAAAATAAATCTTTGGAAATTCGGCAAACTCTTTAAGTTTGTGAATGCATAATAGTGTTATAATTTTTACTTGTTCCATATTTTGTCTGAGTTGTCAGTGAAACAAAGCCTTATACAAAACAACTCTGGCATAATTTGTTTTTAAAAGGAGGTAATGATTAAAGGAGGTGGACTTAAACATGTGCCGTGTGTGGAAGATGAAGACTTCATTCAAGCTCTGGATAAGATGATGCTAGAGAATCTCCAGGTAGTAAATATCGCTCCTGATAGACCCGCATGTGATCCTGCAGCCCTTGGCAGGGGCTCCCGCCCACCTGTAGGAGCTTGCTCCTCCTTTGTCCAGCTCATCAGTTTACCCACCTTGCTGATCCCTCCTGCCTTTCGCTTGTGGATTTGAACGTTTCTCTGAGATAGGGTGGTGTATGTAACTAGGAGACTGGGAACTAAGTAAGTCCATTGGCTGAGCCTCGTTTGGCCTTTCCCTCCCCTCTCCTGGGTGGGTGGGGGCTCTGCGAGGCCAGGAGCAGGTGCTGTGTGTGTAGGTGCCGGGGGTCCTTAGTTCCATCTGTGCTCAGAAAAATCCAGTGGTGGTGGTTCTTAGAAATAAAGAACTGTGATTGAATTGTTTGTACTTGATAAAAGTTGCGCATTTTGAAGTACTTATTGGTGGATTTTTTCCCCCGTTTCTATTTGCAAGCAACGGAGTGGTGAGTCTGTTAAAGTGCACCAGCTGGATGTCGCCATTCCCTTGCACCTCAAAAGCCAGCTGAGGAAAGGGCCCCCCCTTGGTGGGGGGGAGGGAGAGGCGGAGTCTGCAGATACGATGCCGTTTGTCATGCTAACAAGAAAAGGCAATAAGCAGCAGGTAAGAAACTGTCCGTTCTGCATTCACAGCTGGTCTGCCATTTATCTAGCATAAGCAGTCGCTGTTTCCTGGGGCTCTGTTGTCTTCCGCCTGCGAAGGGAGAGAGTTGGAGGTGATGTTTGAAATACACAGGGGCAGAAATACTCATCTGCCAAATGCTAGTAGAAACAGCAGACTTGTGCCGAGTGGATACTTTGTGGAGGGAAGGGTATCCAAGGAGACTTGCAGCGTTCCTGGATCTCATGGTTCTGGTTCAGTCCCTGGCACCGGATGTCCCTCCAAGCACCGCCAGGAACAGCTTCAAGCTAGAGCACCACCATGGCCCTAAGACTGTCATTAACGTTTATATGTTTTTATTAGCAGACACAAATATCTTCTAGTAGGAAGTGTTCCTAAGTTTAGGTTTGAAAGAAAAGTTGGATCCTGACAAATCTCAGAACAGGTGACCCTCACCCCAGTTTCCTGGCCACTTAGCTGCTGCTTCAGGGATTCTTGCATTTGTCGTTCAAGTGGTCACTGATTGTCTGCCAGGTGCCGGCCACGGTTCTGATGTTGAGACTTTAGAAGAGCGGCTTTGCCTTGTGTGCCGACATGCTGCTGAGGCAAGGAGACAGCCCTCACACTGCCACATCTCCATCAGATTCGGCATCGATTGTTCATTGCCGAGTCTTTTTTTTTAAGTTCATTTTGCTTTCTCATTTCTAAAATTAGGTTCCTCATAAGACTTGATGTAGGGGCTGGAGCAATAGCACAGCAGGTAGGGCATTTGCCTTGCGTGCAACTGATCCGGGTTTGATTCCTGGCATTCCATATGGTCCCCCAAGGCCTACCATGACTAATTCCTGAGTGCAGAGCCAGGAGTAATCCCTGAGCATCACTGGATATGACCCAAAAAAGGAAAGAAAAAAAAAGTCAATGAAATCTGTGGCGATTGGCATCATTAAAAAATTCTTGTGGCATATAAAATCAAGGCACATCTAATAATTAATGTTCAGTTCTGTGAGCCTTGGTGGCTGTCACGGCTCGAATGGCCATTAACAGGGGTCACTGCTCGTGACATCTTGTCACAGAAGCGCAGACTCTGAGCACAGGAGTGCTTGAGTAATGAGGAAAGGTTTGCGCCAGAACTTGGGTTGAGAGGTTAGTCTAACTGCCATTTCCACAGCTGCCTGGCCCCTTCCCAGCATAAGGCCTCCCTCACACACTTGCTCTGTCCACTGAGTCCCGGTCCAGCTCATAGCATCCTGGCCTGTCTGCTGCCAGCACCCCCGGGGACAGTGGCCGGGCCCTGTCTGCTGCCAGCCTCCTGGGGACAGTGGCCGGGCCCTGTCTGCTGCCAGTACCCCTGGGGACAGTGGCCGGGCCCTGTCTGCTGCTTTGAACAACTCCCAGCCCCGCCCTGTGCTGCCCTCTGTCCAGTGTGTGTCTGCATTCCTGGCTGAGCTGTGTGTGAGAGCCCTGTCACCTGCGTCTCTCCGCGGGGCCGTCTGCTCTGTGATATGGGCCTACAGGCTGTCCCCAGCTGGCCCTGTCCCTCGGGTCTCCCGTCCAGGTCCCCAGGTATGTGGTGAGACCCTCTGCTGCCACGTGTTTATTCGCGCACAGGTGAAGGAGCGAAGAGGAGTGAAGTTTCCCTGTCCCCTGCCCTGCCCTGCCCTGTCCTGCTCAGCAGCACCCTAGGCGCTCACTGCAGCGGGACAGGGAGGCAGGGCCCGAGAGAGAGAGAGAAAGAGAGAGAGAGAGAAAGAGAGAGAGAGAGAGAGAGAGAGAGAGAGAGAGAGAGAGAGAGAGCGAGCAGGATGCTGAGAAGACGCTGAGGGGGTGGTTGGGGTGCCGGGGAGGCCACTGGCGAGTGCCATACCATGCAGCATCTCGTCTTCCTTCCCCACAGAGGAGCAGCATAGGGTGGCACTGATGCTTCTTTCCTGTGAGTAAATCTGAGAGCAGGATGGTGGTCCCGCAGGTGGCCCCGGGCCCCGGTAGTGCGCCCCTAGTCCCACACTGGCTTCTCGCCTCCAGCCTGTGGGCCCTCTGCAGCCCAGGCGGGGGCGCTGTCCCAGCTTCGGATGCATTCTGCCCCCTCCCACCCCCAGAGCAGGCTAGGGGCTGGCATTTCCCTACACCGTGCCATTCAGACCCTAGGAAAAGAGAGAATGAGACTTTTTTGTTTGGGGGCCTCTGGCCTGTGCCAGTTAGCCCAGACTGTGGCCCCAACGGTTTGGTGTTCAAACCCAGATGTGCTGGGAGCCAGGGTCGTGCCAGGGATGGAAGCCTGGGCACTTCTTTACCTGTCTCCTCACCCTGGGCTCCTGGACCACAGCCCTAGAGGGGGCTCCCGCTGACATCCTGCCATCCCTCGGCCCTGGGGGCAGGGAGTTCTCCCAGGCTGACTTGGCCGTTTCAGGCATCACATCGAAGATCAGTTTCTTAGAAAAATAAAAAGGCCCAGTCCTCTGCCAGCTTGTTTTGGCACAGAGTGCGCAGCGTGGGGCGTCCTGGGGAACCGCTGCGCTCGGCTTAGAGGGGCACACGTCCGGAGCTGGGCTCGCCTTACCTGCAGGGGCTTAGAATGCCTTTGCCATGAAGATGGGGTAGCCCGACAGTGATCTGCTCTCTGCCTCCTTCCTCCCTGGGGAAGTGCAGTGCACATGCTCTGCCTGCTCTGTCTTTGACCCTTACGTGGGTCTTGGAAACAGCACAAACCAGCTTTCACAAATAGTGGAGCTTTGAACAACTCTCAGCAGCCCTAAATTCTAAAAATTATGTGCCAGAAGAGGACTGTGACTGTATTTTAGGAGAATTATGTTTGTTTCCGAGTGAGCAGATCATGTACTGTGTGACCCACATAACCTTTGTGCCACATGATGGCAGAGAGTCTATTTTTCTTAAAATACAGAATTCCGTCTTTAAATTTTATAAAAATTATTGTTTTTAATTTTATTTAAAATATCACCAATCTGGGCTGGAGCGATAGCACAGCGGGGAGGGTGTTTGCCTTGCACATGGCCGACCCGGGTTTGATTCCCAGCATTCCATGTGGTCCCCTGAGCACGACCAGGAATGATTCCTGAGTGCAGAGCCAGGAGTAACCCCTGAGCATCGCCGGGTGTAACCCATAAAGCAAAAAAATAATAATGATGATAATAAATAAATAAAATAAAATATCACCAATCATGAAATGAAAGACTAGTACTTGGTTCCAAAAAGTTTCCAGTTCCTGTGCTTTAGTTGGAATTTTGGAATGCGTTGGGTTTTGGGAATATTATTTGGAGAAACATCACCAGTATTCTGTGGTCTGAAAAAGAAAGTGTATTTTGTTTTGATTTTTATTACTTTATTTGACTTTTGGGTGTTGGCTCTTCTGGTGGGGCAGTTTTGCTAGAAACGTGGACTGTGCCTCCTCCCAGGGCCTTGCCTTGGGAAGGAAGATCTCAGGCGCCAGCTTGGTGCGCAGTTGTACTTCTGTACTATTTAGAAAAACAGAACTTTACACATGTGAAATGAGTTGAAAAGAAAGGATAATGCCGTTATTTCTTTTTCAAGTTAAAAGATTGCTAATAATTTGAATAACATTTAAATGAGATGTTTGGTCATTTAAAACAAAATTTATAAAGCCAACTATGTAATATTCTTAAGAGTTTCAGTAGCTAATACCTATAAATTGCAGTTGTATAATATGAAATGCAAACCATTTATTATATGAAATACAATAAGATGGTTCCAAACCCACACTTAAAGCTTTTCATCTCAGTGTATCTGGCCTGGTGTCCAGGTGTACATTCTGTGCTTTTGATTGATTTTGGATTTAGGGGCACATCTATTGGTGCTCGGTGTAAGTCTGAGCCCTGCTCTCAAAGATCACTCCTGGCGGGCTTGATGAATTTTCTAAACCAGAGGCATCCTATTAAATGCATCACGTGGATGCAGCTCTCCCCTAACTGAGAGGGCGGCAGTGCCGGCCTCCTCCCCAGCCTGCTACTGTCTCTGCAACAGTAGGGTCTCGTACCAGAGGGGTGAGCAGGACACCAGCCGGCTGTGATGCCCAAAGTCTGGTGCCAAACGGGCAGGGGATGGGCAGCTTCTGCTCCTCACACCTGTAAGTTCTGAGGCTTTGCACTCCACACCCAGGCCCAGTTTGTCTCTCGGCAAGGGCTGCTGTTGCTGTTCATATTCTTAGACACAGCCTGTCTCTTACAGGGAAGGAAAGACGCTCTTTCTCTAAGTCATCTAGCTCTGTTAGACTCCTTTCCTTGGGCCATTTGTGACTCCTTTGCTGTTTTCTTCCCAGTTCAAGATCCTTAATGTCCCCATGTCTTCCCAACTTGCTGCGAATCACTGGAATCAACAGCAGGCGGAGCAAGAGGAGAGGATGAGAATGAAGAAGCTCACTCTCGACATCAACGAACGGCAGGAGCAGGAAGATTACCAAGGTGAGCTTGGGGCAGGTGGCGGGCACGGGGGTCCCCCTTACACTCTGCATCACGATGGAAATGGGGTTTTTGTCGCCCGTTCATTTTGCTACCGTGTTAGCGCTGCATGTGCCGGTGCAGTCGACGGATCTTTAACCGTCTCGTGCTGCCGGTCCCGTTGGCTCTGGCTCTTTGGGAATCCTGGACTCTGGCTTCCGGTGCTCCCCGTGTGAGGGGGCTCACATCCCCTCAGGGCTGACCTGGGCCGTGACCCAGAAACCTCAGGGGCTGCCCTGAGGGATGTCTGTTGGCACAGGCTTGGCACAGCTGTTCACCTCACACTGGAGAGCGGTTGCTTCCTGGGCAGGAGATGGTTGTAGGAACAAATATCCAGGTGTCTGTCTGAGGGCTGGGCTCCTCTTCTCCCCTTCCCCCCCCCCCCGTCCTCCCCCCCCCCCCCCCCCCCCCGTGTAGTGGGTAAGCAGTGCTTGGTGAGCATGCGTCCCTGGGACGTTGCCCTCAGCTCTCTGCAGACATCTCGGCACTTAGTCCTCACAGCGGCTTTAGGAAGCGAGTTCATGATTGTCCCCATTTCACAGGGATAAGCTGAACCCAAAGTCCTGTATCTAGGAACTGGCAGAGATGGGCTCGCCTTGTCTGTGCTCACGGCTAATGTGCCAGCCTGCTCTCTGCACTGTCAGTGCTGTCTCAGACTCACAGGGGGCGAGTCGGCCCAGAGAGGAACATCGGTGCTCACTGCTGGCACCCCCAGTATGTCACCTCTGTACCCTCTCTGTGCTTTATCCACTCTGTGTCTAAAAAGGTGAGTTCCCTGAGAGCTGCAGAGAACACAGGGGGTCGGGTTGTCTCGGGGCTGAATATGGTCCAGTGCCAGCACTGCATAGGTCCCCGAGCCCCAAGAGTAGAGCCGGAGATGCCCAGAGCACCACCCAAAAGGCCCAGTGAGCTTGATCCCGAGGGCTGGGGTGTGTGGCTGGTGTGGGCTCCCCCGCAGAGTCTAACCTCTCCTCTGTTCTCGCCCTACCACAGAGATGTTGCAGTCTCTCGCCCAGCGCCCGGCTCCAGCCAACACCAACCGGGAGCGGCGGCCTCGCTACCAACATCCCAAGGGAGCACCTAATGCGGATCTAATCTTTAAGACTGGCGGGAGGTAGGTGGCTGTGAGGGGATTGAGGGGGAGGGGAGCCGGTTCCCGGCCAGATCCAAGGTCTGTGGGGCCAGAACCGGGCGCAGGTGGTGTCTGAGAGCCTCCAGCCCAACTACACATCCTAGCTTTCACTCTCTCAGAGCGGACTCCGGGTTTTCTTCATTTCTCTTTGGCCTTGATAGAGGACTAGTTCTTCTAGATGCATTAGAGAGAAGTCACTCGGTTAGTGCTAAGTCATCGTAATGGTCCCAGCATCTAAAAACCCGTCTGCCAGACTTCCAAGCTTGAAGGTTGAATTTGTTTCCAGGTGCTGTGCTTCCTACATGTTTCCTGTGCTTCCGGGGATCTCTGCCAGTTCTCTTTCTTGTTTGGTTTTTGTTTTGGGCCACACGCTGCGTGCTGAGGGCCTACTCCTGGCTCTGCAGTCAGGAATCACTCCTGGCGTGCTTGGGGGACCCTATGGGATGTTGGGAATCAAATCAGGGTCGGCCGTGTGCAAGGCGAGCGTCCTACCTGCAGTGCTATCACTCTGGCTCCCGTGCCAGTATTCTTGAACTGTAAGTTATTTAATAATCAAAACTCTATAAGGATTTCCACATTGAAGATGTTCCCTGATTGCACCTTATTTGTACTTTTTTCAGGAATAAAATTATTTAAATTCTTTTCTGATCATCAATAACTCAGGTTTTAGCCAACAGTGGTTTTTTTTTTTCTCTTTGTGGCGGGGGGGCGGGGCACACCCGGCAGTGCTCAGGGCTTTCTTCTGGTTCTGTGCTCAGAGAATACTCTTGGTGGGCTCGGGGGACCCTAGGGGGTTCTGGGGATTGAACCCGGGTCAGCCTTGTGCAAGGCCAGTGCCCTCCCGCCACTGCCCTCTCTGATCTCATTCGGCATCAGACTGCAAGGCCAGCAGCCCCCGGTGTCTGGCACCCGGTCTGAGTGTTCCTGAGGCACTTTCTCTGGCCATCTGCTCAGATAACTTAGCACATCGTGATGTGGAAAATCTGTTTGTCAGAGACTTGTTTGGAGACCTGTTTCCTCCTCTTAAGTGTCAAGTTTGTTTGTTTGTTTTTCCCCCCAAATTCAAGTTAGAGTCTATGCACCGTCCCACCTCATCAGGCGCATAACGACGCTGGCAAGGGGGGTTCTCTGTCCTGGGCCACGCCCTGTGAGTGCTCCTGACCTGCATGGAGGAACCGCTCCTGCCAGGGCCACGAGGACCATCTGGGGGGAGGGGAGCAGACCGGGTAGGCTGCTGGCTGCACGAGCGCCCTGCCCGCTGCCCTGTTGCTCTGGCCCCTTTGGCCTGCTTGGTGGTGCCCTCTGTGTTCCCTTGTCTCCGTGCCAGAGGATGGAACCATTGGCTCCATCATGGCCCTGGTCCCCGCCTTCATCCCATCCCTGTGCCCGAGGCTTTTCCACCCGTGCAGAGAGCAGCCTTCCCCAGAGTGGGTGAAGGAAGGGCCGGGGCAGAGGGCCTTTGGGTACATTGGGAGTCTTTTTGGTCCTTCCACTTATAGGTGGGTTTCCACAGGCGTGTGGAAGGAGGTGTCGGCAGTGCTTCCTGAGCACCGCCCGGGGTTGGGCTAGGTTGCCCTGGGTCCCATCTCTCTCGTGCTCCTGGGTGCCTCATCTCCCCTGGGTCTCGCAGCTGCTGCGAGATTGGGCAGAGGTGCCCCTTGCCCTGCCCACCAGGGGCACTCAGGGACCAGCTTCAGAGCATTTGTGGCTTGGAGAACAGGCTGCTGTCCTTTCCCCAGTCGACTGGCAAAGGCAGTTGATTCTGGGCTCCCACCTCCCCTCCATACTGTGCTGGCAGACACCCTCCGCCTCAAGTCACAACACGCCTGGCCTGGCCTGGCCCTGGCCTGCCGGTCAGTCTCAGCTCCTCCGGCCCCTCCTCGGCTGGCCGTGCCAGCCCTGTCAGCTGCTGTGTGCTCCCTGACTTGCGGGTCCCGCTGGAGGTGCCCTCTCTGCCTTGGCCCGAACCTTCTGGTGACATGCATGTCGTCAGGCCTTGCCCTCTGGCCCCACACGGTCCGCACACCTGGGCCTTGTCCCCTCACTCCGTTGCCGTTTCATCTCCTCCATAGCCGTCCCCCAGGCGCTGGGGGAGACCGAACGGTGCGTGGCGAACAAGGCTCCCTCGGCGCAGGCCCCTTCACAAGCTCATGCCCCTGCCCCTGGCGCCCACGTCTGCCCACCTGCTTGTGCTTTGCCTTTCCTGTTGGAGGCTCTGAACACAGCTTTTCCATGTCTGCTCCACTTCAGTCGGCCCTGGCAGGGCAGGGGGGAGCACTGTGGGGGAGCATATGCTTTGCACAAGAAGATCCTGGATGGCTAATGCACACGTATGCACATGCTTGCGCTCTCTCTCTCGCTCTCGCTCTCCCTCTCTCTCGCTCTCGCGCGCTCTCTCTCTCTCTCTCTCTCACACACACACACGCAGTAAGTAGGGTCTTAAAATGCACGTGTTTGGGAGCTGTGAGTGTGTAGCAGCATGAGCCCGCAGGCTGGGAGCCTCTGAGGGGTCCTTGGCCTCTCTGGCCCGCATGTTCCACGATGTGGAGTCGTGCAAAGACGGGCATGGTGGGAAGGGTCTCGTCAGTAGATGGAGGTGGGCCAGGCCGGACTCTGGCCACTGTGGGGGACCTCCTGTACAGGACTGGCTGGGGGCCCGCTCTGGGGTGCTCAGGAGACTGGTGTGGCAGCACCATGCAAAGCGTGTGCTCACCCTTCCCCAGGAAACCAGCTCCTGTGATTCAAATCTGATGTGTGGCTGATTTGACTCCTTACTAGTGTTTTGTTTTTTAAATGAATCATAAATACTGTCGCTGTCACGTGGCAGATAAGGAAATTGTCATTTAAGGGCTTTTTAGGACATACCCTGACCCTCCTGCGATAGCTTGGGGGTTCCCAGTGCTGCAGGCTCCGTGAACCACCTTATTTGAACCACCTCAGTTGGCTCCGAATCACGAGCGACCCCTGGGTCCCCCGAGCACCTCCCCGAAACAAATACTGATTGTTCACAGTTCAATAGCTTGGCATAGCTTTGGATTTGGGTATGGCTCTGCAGACCGTTCTGGTGAATATTGCTTTTCCTAGGAGGCTGGAAGAGCCAAGTCTGCCATTGTCACTGAGCAGGACGGAGCCTTTGCCGCCTGGTCCGAGGGCACAGCGCCCTTGGGAAGCTGAGGGTCGGTGTCCTTGGTGGCTGTGTGCTGCTCCCTGAGGCAGCCCCTGCTTGGCTCATGGCGTGGCCCAGGCTCAGCCCTGCTCTGCTCTCTGGACAGAACTGCCCATCCTGGGCTCTGCTGCCTGAAACTGGGAACGCTGGTGTTTACCACATTTGCACTCTGTTCTTTGCGTGCTTCTCGCTGATATCACTTGCCCTGGGAGAAACAGGCTGTGCCAGGCTGTCGTATCCAGGCACTAAAGATTGGGTGGCTAAAGCTCAGCACTGGGGCACCTTCCTGGGTGCTGGAAGTCAAGGTCAGCAGCCATGGCCGTGCCTGAGCACTGGCATCCCCAGGCCTGTCTCACTTGGCATCCTGGGTTCACCTTTCTCTCTGGGTGGCTCTGTGTGAGTGTGTGTCTGCGTGTGTGTGTGTGTGTGTTCGGGTGGCTCTGTGTGAGTGTGCACATGTGAGTGTGTGTGTGCGTGTGCTGTACGTCTCCCATTTCTGAAGCTATTCCGTACGGACTGTGTGGCTTGTCTTGTTCCAGTGTCCTCGTAACTGCTGACACCTCCAGTGATCTTGCTTCTGAGTGAGGGCTCGTCCTAGATGGACAGAGAGACTCCATCTTACTAGTTTGGGGGACATTGCCCAGGCGTAGTGTATGCCCTGAACCCGCAGCCCTTAGAAAGGCACCGAGCAGAGGTCCCAGCCCAGCCCCCTGCCCCTGCTGGAGCCCTGTGCTTGTGTGTCTGGGTCATCGAAGGTGTACTTGTTTTTTTTTTTTAATATTTTTTTGTAAAAGAAGAAAGATCTGTTTATCCAGATCTCTTCTAGAGTTATCCTAAAGCTCCTGTGTCTTTGTGATTCTAGCATCTTTCCGTGAAGTGTTCCGATCATGTGTGTACGGTGGTCTCGGCGCCCGAGGGCAGCCGTGCACTTGTGAGCGCTTCTGTGATTCGGGAGGGGCGTCAGGAGGGGGCGCTGGGGGCCGCTGGCGCCGTCCCGTGGCCGTGTTAATGGTGCCCTGTTTGTGCCTCCAGGAGACGCTGATCCGGCAGCACGTGTCATTCCATTAGGTCCTGTATCTGATGTTGTGGATAGTGGAGTCCTCCAGCAATGGAATGAGCAGTGGACACATCTCAGCATGGCGGTCTAGAGAGTTGCGAGTCTAAACCTGGGACAGGCTGGGGCCATGAGGCGGGAACAGCAGCCTCGCCAACACCGGAACAAGCCGAGGCTTCCAGACGAGGCACACGGCCTTTTGAAATGGAAATCATGTGAGGGTTAATCTTCTCTCGAGAGTGGCCGTCGGGAATGAGATGGTTCACTCCACACCTGCGCAGTTCCACCACGCGTCAGTGAGATGACTTGAGTCGGAGAAGAAACAGTTGTGATGGGAATGGCATGGGGGAAGTGAACCTGAGTTTACACTTGATCTGAGTTACAGCGTCTCTGAATCAAACATCCCGTGTTGGAAGAAGATACATTTGGGGGCTCCAGGACTACAGTAGAAAAGCATAGAGCAAGCAGTCAAACCTTCTAGCAAAAACTTACATGCAGGACAACAAAAGTGATGAAAGATCTCCAAATACTAGATAATCCGCCAGGAAGGCTTTCGTTTAGGAATTGGTTTCAAGAGGAACAAGGGATGAGGGAGGAAAAAAAATCAGTTTCATCTATCAGAGTCAGTAATACACAATTGCCTACTAGGGTAAAGGAAAGATGTGAAGACTATTAGCATACCAAGAGCGTGAGTTGAGATGCTTAGGGAGGTGTGGTGCCAGCCTCAGCACAGGGAGTGGAGCCCCGCGTAAGTATCATTGAAACCAGCCGCCTGCCAGGCAGGGAGTCCGGAGCAGGGGCGCCGGGCAGCGAGGCGGGGGTCCGAAGACTGTGTTGACCTTCATGGGTTTACAGCTCTGTCTCGAAACTAAGTATGGAAATAGTAGAGCTTTTATTTTGCTTTCGTTTTTTTGTTTCTGTTTTTGTTTTGTTTCACCCCCACCCCACCTCACCCCCGCCCCACCCCCACTGGTAGAAACGGGGGTCCTTAGTCTGTCTCTGGAGATGTTAATTTATTAGGATAGCTGTCTTCCGTTGGCTTTCCCACAGGCACAGTACCTTTAGTTCAAGAGCACCTCTGGAGGCCACAACTTGATTACATCTATTTTTCTTTCTAGCAATTTTACATTTTTTTTCTTTTACCATGTTTCTGTTTCTGCATGTAGAATTAAATAAGAAACAAAACCTGTAAAGTTGTAACATTTCACATGGAAATGCTGCCCGATCTTCACCAGCTTCAGAAATCTGACCTTTGCCGATGCTGCAATAAAGTGTTGTAATTTAGATCTGGCGTGTCTGTGTTTCACTGGGTTCAGGGCTTCGAAGTCCCAGCAGATGAGTGACCCGGTATCTGCCGGGGTCCCCTTGGCGCGTGATAGTCTGAGAGATGCTCCCTGGGCTCCAGAGCGTGCCTCCAGCTCGGCTTGGGTGCAGAAAGCACCCTTGGCTCAGGAGGCTGGTGGCCAGGTTCCCCGGCCAGGGGCTCAGGAATCACCACTTTCCTCCTTGCTGTTTTCCCAGTGTCACAAAACCTGACTCATGTCACCCAAAAAGAGCCATGGCTGTTGGATGGTCACTGCCAACACTCCACTGGGAGTCCTACAATTGAAAACAGCACAAACACCCTCTAACGTCACTGTGTGTGCTGGAGGACACACAGGTTTTTGTTCTCTGTGCCTTTTCTGGGGCCTGGGGATGGCTCGTGTGCAGGGCAGAGGTGCTTGAGACTCAGTGTGCTGCGTCCACCCTTCCTAGAACCAAGGTCACTGCTGGGTGGTGGCCTGTCTGCCAGCCGTGAAGCATGCAGAGCCAGTAAGACTGTTGGCACTGTTACTGTCGTCGGGACAGCTGTGGTGGCCAGAGGTGTATGTGGGCCCTGCACCCCTCCCACCCATCTTTCACCGTGTGGTAGGAATCTCGGCCTTCCCACTGGTAACAGCCGTCTTCTCCCTGTGGAGAGGCGGAAGGGAGCTGTGAGGGGGACAGAGGGGCTTAGACACCAAGCACCAACCTTGCCGGTCTCAGGCCCTTGCTCTCAGCTCCTTCTATCCCCAGCCTGACACCAGACACGGAGGTCCAGCACGGATCTGCTATACTGGAGTTTCGGAAAAGCTTAAGATCAGTAGCTTTTACACATCCCATTTGTTGTTGTCCTTTTTTGGGTCACACCCGGCGACACTCAGGGCTGATTCCTGGCTCTGCACTCAGAAATTACTCCTGGCTTGGGGGTGCTTGGGAGACCATATGGGATGCTGGGGATTGAGCCCGGGTCAACTGCATGCAAGGCAAATGCCCAACTCACTGTACTATTGCTCCGGACCCCGAAATACATCTTTAGACCTGGAAGGAAAGGACTCTGCTCTTTAGTGCTGTCCTGTTGAGGGAGTTCTGGAAATTGAACCATGTCTGGGTCCGTGATGCCCCTGAAGTACACACACACACACACACACACGCACACCACCTATTGGTGCATATTTCCTATTATGAGTCACTGGAAACTTCATGTCTGGGTCCATGAAGCCCCTGGAGTGCGCACATGCACACACACATTCTCTGACACACATCCCCATTGGTGCACTTCCCTATTACTGATGAGTCACATCCCTTTGCGGTTAGGTGGTCTCCACTAGGGGGCACTGCTGAGCAACGCAACAGTAATTGTGGCTTGTTTTTTTTCCCCCCAATTGATAAAATTATTTACTCTTAACCCATTTCAGGGGTGTGCATCCAGAGTGTGTGGAGTGTCCGTTCTGTCATTGTGCAGGGACAGTGGCGTCTTTCCAGCAGGGCCACCCCAGGGCGCTATGGACTCCTGCAATATCTCAGGACTGTGCCAGTTCCTTGTCCTTGGTGAACTGCCTGCTTTGTCATTTGCCGTCCTGGTTTGATTTGCAGTGCAGCCGTGTTTCTGTTTCCATTCGCTTCAAGTTGAGATTTTATCCCCCCCAGTAGAATCTCTAACGTGGAATGGAGTAAATACAGTAAATAAACAGTAGCTACACTAAGCATAGTACATTTCAGTTATAAATGGGGTCTTGGGGGGGGGGGTCTCAGCAGTGCTCAGAGGTCCTGGATGGAGATGTTTTTTCTTTATATACTCTAGATCTGAGTCAGGTAAGTGATTTTCAGATATTTTTCCTCAATCTGTAGCTGGTCATTTTTTTGTTTTTCTTTATCACAGAAAGAGAGGATCTTTTAAAAAAATTTTTTTTATTGGATCACTGTGAGATACACCCTTGCAAAGCTGTTCATGATTGGGTTTCAGTTATACAGTGTTCCAACCCCCATCCCTCCACCAGTGTACTTTTCCCAGCACTGGCGTCCCCAGGTTCCCTCCCATCACACCCCCACCCCCACTCCTGCCTGCCTCTATGGCAAGCGCTTTTCTTTTCTCTTTCTCCTCTCTCTCTCTCTCTCTTTCTCTCTCTCTCTCTCTCTCTCTCTATCTCTCTCCCTCCCCCCCACCCCTTTTGGGCATTGTGGTTTGCAATATTGATACTGAAAAAAAAAAAGGCAGTTAAGGAATATCACCTACTTTTAACCCTCAGATCGTGTCCAGCGTGGTCATTCCCTATAGCTAATCTTCTCAACAGGGCCTTTTGCTCAGAAAAATGTACGTTTGACTGGAACCCAGCTTACTGCTTTCCCCCCATACAGTAACCTTTTGACATCATGTCTAAGAATATTCTTTGCCTAGCTCCAGAGTTCAAAGAATTCTTCCATTCCTCCTTTAAAAGTTTCATGAGACACTGATGATGACGAGACATTAGTGTTGGTTTTTGTGGGAGCGAGTGTTCGAGCAAGGTCTGGGCGGGGTGGGGGACATCAGGGCCAGCCATGTCGTGCTTCGAGGCACCTCCCCGGACCGGCGGGGTTTTCTATCGCTGCGAGACGTCGGGTCACTCTGTGACCACGTGTTGAAGAAGCTCCCACTGGGTTGCTTCCCTCAACTCTCTGTCCAAAACAGTGAACTTCCTCCCACTCTCCCATGCCCGGGCCCTTTGTTCTGCCTCCAGGATGTGTCCGTCCACCCTCCAGCACGTCTGCGGCCTGTGGTACACCTCCCTGCAGGCGAGAGGGTTTCTCTGTCCTCTGGCAGGACTGTTTCCGCTACTCCAGACTTTGCCCCTCCGGAAGAAACTTGCCTGTGTTTACAAAGTATCTCTGGGATTTGGGGAGGTACCTGTTGTTTCCCATGGATGTGATTTCTCTTTTGTGACTCAGGATCAAACCTGAGCCCTTGCACATGCTAGGCAGAGCACGCTGTCCAGAGTTATGTTCCCTGGCCAGTAGTGAAATGATTTTTATTTTCAGGTTGTGTTTACTGCTAATATATCAAAAGTTTAGTTCATTTTTTTTTGGATCATCCTGGTGGGTTCCGGGGACCATGTGGGATGCTGTGTGCAAGGCAAGTGCCGTACCCACTGTACTGTCACTCCAGCCCACAGCTGACTTCTTTCCCCATACACTAGTTTGTATTCATGTGACACTGATTCATTCGTTGGCCTTTAATTCTCTCTGTTGTTTTGCGGAGTTCTTGGGGGTTTTCCCCATGTCGGATCATGTCGCCTTCAGTTATACGCTCTGTTTGCAATTTGGACAGCCTGTCTTTCCTTTTCCTTCCCTGTGGCACTGGCTGGACACGCTGCTACTGCAGTTTAGAGAGGAGAGAGACATCCTGCTCCTGGTCACAGCCCCAAGAGCACCGGTCACTGAGCAAGCACCAGGGGTTGAGGAAGGAGGAGCGGGGCGTCTAGGAAAGGCACCCGGGGAAGACAAGCTGGGAAGCGGAGGCTCTCACTGAGGCCAGGAAGTCTGTCTGTTTGTCTGTCTGTCCTCACCCCAGCCCTGAGATTGATGGTATTCTAGAGGCTTTGCTATGAGCCTTTTTCCCTCCCTTTGGAGAGATTCATTTTATTTATTGGTTTGTTTATGTGTTCATTTAAATCACCGTGAGATATCACGGTCACGGTCCTGTTGTTCATCGATTTGCTCAAGCGGGCCCAGTAACGTCTCCATTGTGACACTTGTTACTGTGTTTGGCATATCGAATATGTCACGGGGAGCTTGCCAGGCCCTGCCGTGCAGGCGAGATACTCTCGGCAGCTTGCCGGGCTCTCCGAGAGGGGCGGAGGAATCGAACTCGGGTCGGCCATGTTGGCTGTGTGCAAGGCAAATGCCCTACCGCTGTGCTATCACTCCAGCCCACCGTGAGATACAGAGTTACAAAATTGTTCATGTTTGGATTTCAGTCATACGGTGTTCCAAAACCCACCCCATCACCAGTGCGCATTCCCTACCACCAATGTCCCCAGTTTCCCTCCTGCCACCCTGCCACAGTCTGCCTCTATGACAGGCGCTCTCTCTCTCTCTCTCTCTCTCTCTCTCTCTCTCTCTCTCTCTCTCTCTCTCATGAGCCTCTTACCCAGGCAGGCCCCCTCTTCCTCTCCACATACCCACATCTCTCTGGGACAGCCTTCCAGGGGTGCTGTGCTTATGCACACATATGTGCACAATACATGCATGAACACACGCACATTCACACGCACACGCATGCACATACACATGGTGCACACACTTCCGGGAAAGGAGCCAGTGGGAGTCTTGTCCCCGGTGGTCGGGGCCAGTTCCCCCTTCCTGCTCCCGTTTTGGTTTCGCTGACATCTTACCTGGCACCAGCTTGGTACACAGCGTCATTTGAGACCTGGCATGGATGAAGTAAACCAGAAGGTCCACCAGACCCGAGCAGTTTACAGCCGAGGGGAGCGTCTCAGATTCACGTTCCCAGCAGCGGCATGAGCACTGGGTGAAGGAGGCGAGGCCAGGACTGGCTGTTCTGAGGGGAAGCAGCCCTGCTGTCTATGTTGGGGGCCTGGCTGCCTGGGGTGTGGAGGGGGCGTGCTGCAGGCATGCCGGGCTCTCAGGTGGCAGGAGCCTGGAGCGGTGATTTGCCTGTCAGGTACAGAATCAGATCTAGCGGGGCTGGAAGGCAGCGTCGGGTCAGACACCGGCCCGCGGGGCTGCACCTCAGATGGACACGCTGAGTCGTGCTCGTCGTGGGGAACTGACGGACCAGGGCAGGGAGAACCGAGAGTCACAGGGACCGTTTCCCAGGCTGAGACTTCGGCTGATTCTGGCAGCCACACAATCCCTGAAGGTATTTGGGTCATGAAGTGAGCCAGTGGGGCTGTGCAGATTAGCCCAGAAATCACTCAGGCAGCTGGAGGCAGAGACTCGTTGCCACCTACCACCCTCCCTCATATTCTCCGCCCACCCACCCACTC